ATAAGGTTAAGTATTATTCAGTTTAAATCTACCTCTTCTCAACCATATATAGGAATTACTATTTACTACTTTATATACTATTTATATGGCTTTACTTATATATTTTATTTTTCAAAGTTTCAGAAAAAATTTATATTCTAACTTGCTGAAATGAAAAAAAATTTTAGTAGATAGAACTGCACTGTTCTCTAATAATCCAGAAGAAGGTTTTAAACAACGTAAAAGTTCAGATAAACTTAATGTTTTGAAAAAATTTGCAAATAGAGATTTGCAATACATCACTTTTGTACACATGAGTTTCATCTTTAAAGTTTGTATGATATATATTATTACAATATTTATTTTAAATTGTCATGAACATTTTCAATGTTTCTTATACATTGTTTCTTTTTAGATAAAACAGTTATCATTAATTGGCGATAAAAATCTAGCTGATACAATTAAAAATATTTTGCTCTTGTAAGTAATTAGCAAAAGTTTGAGTTTTAACATTTATGATTGACAGTAGAGCATTTATCTTCTTTTTTATATATGTAGACTGCCAACAGACACTATTTTGTCAGAATACAGCATGAATTGTCTAAAGAAGAAAAAAAAGTTTAAAGAGTTGACAAGTCTATTTAACGCTGTCACTGGTATTCTTATTAGCTTATTAATGTGTTTGATTAATTAAAAATTAAAAATGATGTTTTAAAAAAAAAAAAAAAAAGTTTTTTGGCTCTGGAACATGACATGTATTCAAGTATGACATATATATTTTATTTTATGATTTTATTGAAACATGTTTTGTTGTTTTTATTAGAAGCTGCTTTAAAGTCAAATAAAACTTAACCAAAATGGATGCTATCCAACTTATTGGGAGAGTAGTTAGGCATTCTTCTGACCGAATAAAGAAAACATCGACTAATATGGATTTCGATCAATGTTGGCTTAATTAACTGTTGTATTTTTTTTCCATTTTTAAGCAATTTTTTTCTATTTATAATGCACTATCGATTATATTCTACAGTACCTATTTCTTTTTAATTTGAAAAATGTAACTTTTTTGTTTGAAAAATTATTCTTAATTTTTATAAAGTTATTAATTTATTTTAAATATATATAATTACACTTTATTTACATTGATTTCCTTTTATAACTTCCCTTGCCTAGATTAAGGCAAATCTAAGGTGTGTGTTGTAAATGATTGCATTTTTATATAACTTTTAAAAGAATGTCTTGGTAAAATTCAAACGTCTCTAGGACGTCTGAAAAAGACGTCCTTAAGTCATTCATATGAGACCAGCCAGAGACGTCTCTAGAACGTCTTTAAAAAATGTCTTTAGGACGTCCGGAATGGACGTCCTCAAGCCTTTCATTTGAGACCAACTAAGGATGTCTTACGGACGAGACTTAAGACGTCTAACGGACGTCCTTAGGACGTCAAAATGCCCGCTGGGTAGGTATTTCACTGTCTATTAGTTTTTCTCTGATTTAGGGTTAGACCAGTAAAGTTGTTAAATTGTTAAATTTATGTATTTTAAATTTATTTATTTACATAGTTTAGTTAAGACTATGCAAAATTTAATTAGTGTAAATTTGTTTACACTTTCAATATTGTGTGTTGCTTCTCTTAAATGAGATAAAAACCCAAGGATGCAAAAAACTTAATATAAAATAGTGTGAAGAAGAAGTAGTAACTGAAATGAACAGCATAATAGAATTTGATAAGTTTGACTCAGCACTTGACAATGTTTCATCTAGTAACTCTGTAGTATCTCTGCAGTTGTAAACTGCTAAATACTGATTTGACAGATTTTTCTTTTTTTTTAAATTTTCTTTACAATATATAATTTTTACTACTTAATTAGGAATTGTCAGATTTCCATTATTTCTTTCTATTAGAAACAATGAGTTCAAAATATTGGTGGTAAGAACTGACAAAAACTTGTGATAGCTATGATGAAGAGGTTAGTAAATTAAAAGTGCATTCCTATAAATACTCTGTTTAATTTTATAATGATATTACTCCCATCTTACAATCCATATAACAAATCCCATGCATGTCTCTACGTTAGCCGTTTTACCATAATGGGATGACTGAATAACCGTGAATTTCATACGCGCACACTAGCACATGTGCAAAGCAGTTACAAAAACTGACACAATGCCAAATGGCATAAGTGCAAATGGGCATAACTGCACAAAAAGAATTCCAAACATTGGCATAATTGCAAACTGCTATAAGTGCAAATTTACATATGTGTAAAATGGCATAAGTGGGCTAAATAGATTTACAAACATTCGCATAAGTGTGAATTTCCATAAGTGGGAACTGGTAAGTGTGAAGCAGTTGCAAAAACTCGGAGAAGTGCAAACAACATAAATGTGAACTGGCATAAGTTAGTGTGCTATTTTTTAAATAATAGATTAGATTTAATTAATAGATAAACTGTACCGTTAAATTAAAATCTAACTTTTTAATTACATTTAGATTTTATAAAAAAAACGAAAAAAAATTTTAAATACAGTAGTTAATTATAATTTCATAAATTATAAGATATAATTGTATTAAAATATATTATTTTTAGTTTTATGACAAATTCACTCATGGCCAAAATTAATATGGCAGCTGCAAAAAGGCAAAGGATCTTTTTAGCCTAACCAAGCTATACAACTTAATAAAAGGTACGTTTATAAATATATATATACATATATATATATATATATATATATATATATATATATATATATATATATATATATATATATATATATATATATATATATATATATATAAATATATATATATATATATATATATATATATATATATATATATACGTATATATAACATATATATATAACATATACATATATAAATCTATATATAACAATTATTAGGCGGGATTGTATTTCTAATTTACCGATTACTAAACTGTTTCTTTTTTTTCTCCTCTTCAAGCACTAAATATATATATATATATATATATATATATATATATATATATATATATATATATATATATATATATATATATATATATATATATATATATATATATATATATATATATATATATATATATATATATATATATATATATATATATATGTATATATATATATATATATATATATATATATATATATATATATGTATATATATAAATATATATATATATATATATATATATATATATATATATATATATATATATATATATATATATATATATATATATGTATATATATATATATATATATATATATATATATATATATATATATATATATATATATATATATATATATATATATAATATAGTGATAATAGGCTAGTGATTGCCGAAGGGCAATAATTAATTATAAAACTAGCTGAATTTTTTTTTTTTTTTATTTATGAGTCCAATGTTGATATGATTTAGAAAAAAAAAATCAATAAGATTAGGATCAGTCAAGAGATTAGAATCCAAAGAGGAACCTCAAGATATCATCAAAATCAAAAAACATTTTTTTTTACTTTGTTCTAATGAATGATAGACATCGATTCGTGTCTCAGGAAAATTTATTTTTTAACTTTTTTTTGTTATGAAAATCACTATACCCTTATATATATATATATATATATATATATATATATATATATATATATATATATTTTATATATATATATATATATATATATATATATATATATATATATATATATATATATATATATATATATATATATATATATATATATATATATATATATATATATATATATTAGGGTATAGTGATTTTCATAACAAAAAAAAGTCTATCTATATATGTATATATATATATATGTATATATATATATATATATATATATATATATATATATATATATATATATATATATATATATATATATACATATATATATATATATATATATATATATATATATATATATATATATATATATATATATATATATATATCAGGCTTAGTCGGGAAGCGGGAGCGATCACTCTCGAATACTGACCACGGAAATTATATTTAGTTGCGTAAAACTGGCCAGGTTTTTAAGTCGTTTTGAGAACATTTAAGTTTATTTATGAAACATAAAATTTTTGTTTTACGGACATACATGGAAACATAAAAAGCTTGGATGTTCCCAAAACATCAATGTGCGCAAGAATAAAAAAAATATTTGCGAGCACTAAAAACCCGCTAAATTAACGAACAAACTAATTCTATTGGTTCAAAAAATACGCTAATTAAGCGAAATAATGTTCTAGAGTATTCTGTTGAAATGTTTTAGAATTTGTATTATTCACGATTTGTAACGTTTTGAGATTTCTAGAATTGTTTTAAGAATATATATTATTTGTTTACAAAAATAAATGTTTTAAATTTATATTAATTAAATTGTTAAAATTTTAAAAGTTTATAATAAATTATAGATTTTATTAGTATGTTCTTATTTTTTTATTTAAAAAGTATGTAATCTTCATGTAAATGTAATTTTGTGTATCTGTTTTTTATCGTAATGTATCTTTTAAAGCAATTTTTATGATTTAAATAAAGACTTACAAAAATAATTGCGTTTTCAATGAAGTTATAATCGTTAAAGTTAATAAAACTAATTATGTAACAAACATATAAGAAGTTTCTAGTTACTAAACACAAACAACGCATACAAAGTAACTCGCGGATAAACAAGCATCGCGCCTGAGGTCACGACAAAACACAAATATATATAGCAAATAATTAGATAAAAAAAAAAGTTGCTAGATATTGGTTTACTAACTCTAATTATTTTTGCTTAAGTTACCATTCTTAAAACTCGTTTTACTATTTTCTGCTTTAAATACTAATTAAAATTAAAAAGCTCACTCACTAAACATTATAAGCGATATTGTGAAGCAGTTTCGCTTCCTGGTCATTAAGTATTTTTAACCTTTTTAGTTGATATCTATCTTGATAAATTAATTCCTATAGTTTAAAACATAAAATAGGTATTAAAAAAATTAACTTTTTTATTTATTAAACAATTTAGCTCAAGTAAAACTAAAACTTGCAAACTTTGTTAAATAAAGGATATTTGTTTCTCTTTTAAACAATTGTAAGTTGTTAATTTTATCAAAAAATTAAAAAAGAGCGATGTTTCGAAAATATTTGTTCTAAATGTAATTTATTTAGCTTTAAGTTTTTTCGCGTTAAAAGATATTTTATTTGCGTATTTATTATTTTTTTTTTTTGTAATTGTCTCTCATCGGACCAATTAATCTTTGTTGTTTTTTTTTTTTTGCTTTTTAAAATGTTCTCAAAACGACTAAAAAATCTGGCCAGCTTATCGCAACTAAATATTATCTACGTGGTCAGCAGTCGAGTGCGATCGCTCCCGCTTCCCAACCAAGTCTGATATTTATATATATATATATATATATATATATATATATATATATATATATATATATATATATATATATATATATATATATATATATATATATATATATATATATATATATATATATATATATATATATATACATTATACATATATATATATATATATAGATATATATATAGATATATTTATATAGTTATATATATATATATATATATATAGAAGTATATATATTTATTTATTTATTTATTTGTTTATTGAGATAATGAGCCAATAAGTTTTTGCGTAATAGTTGAAATTATAAATCTTAATAACACTTTAATAATTAGTTTTTTAAATTAGTGTGGTATATCAAATGATAGAAAATTTGAAACACTAAATAGTGGTGTAAATAACTCCATACTGCCAAAAATGCATTTCCCTTGTATACCCATTTGTAAAACTACCGCAAAGCAGGACCAGCTTTAGGTTCGGGCGAGTTAGTCCAATCGTTTTGCCACGGCTTGAGAACTTACATGGGGAAAAACCATGAAGTTTGTCTGACAGCAAGCACAGTTAGAAAACGCCTGCAGCAAGCTGGTTTGAATAGGAGAATTGCTGCGAAGAAGCATTTATTGCGACCTGATAACATTGCGAAAAAAAGAGTATTCCAGAAGTTGCACAAAATCTGGACTGTTGTACAATGGAATAAAATGCTATGGAGTGATGAAAGTATCTTTACTGTTATCTGTGGAGCTAAAAGAGCTTATGTGAAGAGAAGAGTTGGTGAATGATTTAGTCTTCTATGTGTTAGTGAATGATTTAGTCCTCTCATACAGTAAGGCATGGAGAAGGCTTTCTTATGGTATGGGATTGCATGTCAGGATCAGGTTTAGGTCACTTATATTGTTGTACAGGCACGGTAAAACAGGATAAATATTTGGAAATATTAAAAACACAAATGAAACCATCAGCAAACAAACTATTTGGTAAAAACAAACTATTTTTCTTTCAACAGGACAATGCTCCTTGCCACAAAGCTAAGAAAGTAATGGAATATCTCAAACATGCTCGTACCAATGCTATTGAATGGCCTCCACAAAGTCCTGACCTGAACCCCATAGAAAATTTGTAGGAGGAGCTCTTCAGAAAAGTACAGAAAACCAAACCCAGCAATCTGGATGATTTGTGGCAACATTTGCAAGCTGCATGGCTAGCAATCCCTGTTGACACCATCCAAAAGCTGGTACAGTCTATGCCAAGACTTGTACAGGCTGTGCTCGATGCGCATGGAGGGCATACAAAATACTAGTCTTTTAGTCAGAATTTCTTATGTTTTATTAGTGGTGCTTATTACTGACAATGCAGAGTCATTTTTATTTCAATGTGATGCTGTTTTATTTATATTGTGCCGAAAATGAATAAAATTCTCTTGTTTTTCAACTGTGGTCATGACTTTATGCCTCTACTGTATGTAGGTGTGTATATATATATATATATATATATATATATATATATATATATATATATATATATATATATATATATATATATATATATATATATATATATATATATATATATATATATATATGTATATATATAAATATATAATATATATATATGCAATGTGAAGTTATATATATGTTTTTAAAACATATATTTCTAGTTTAAAAACTTATTACTATTATTATTATACTATATATATTATTATTATACTATAATACTATTATTACTGTTCAGATTGTCTGTTTTAAATATATAGTTTTTTCTTTTAGTTTGTGCATTGACTTCTCACGAATCATACACAGAGTCGATTGTCGATGCAATAATTACTGATTCGTGAAATCCGGCAACCTTTGCTTGTCTTAAAGTGCCTTAAATCCAACAGATATCATCGTTATAATATTACTTTGTTTGTAAATTGTTTTAAAAAATAAATTTAAAAATAACTTTTAAATGTATTTTTTATTTTTTTGGTTTTTTTAACCAACAGGTTCTTTTAAAAACAATTTAATAATAGTACCTATGGATTTGGGAATATTTTCTAAAAATTAACGTCTTTTAAACCTTTAAAAGACGTTTTTTTTTGATTAAAGCTTTTATTTAGAACGTTTTTTAAACGACTTTTTTAGAACGTTTTTTAAACGCTTTTTTAAAAACGTTTTTTAGGTATTGCTATTCAGAACGTTTAAAAAACGTTTTTTTTCTAATTAAAAAAATGTTTTAAAAACGTTCATGTTCTTACTGGGTTGGCGTGATTCAGAAAGTACTCTTGAATTAAATTCTAATTATACTTTTCCCATTTTACAAATTAAATAGTAAACCACCAGGTGGTGGGAAAAAAGGAGGAGGATTAGGACTTTATGTCTTGGAAAAATTTTCGAGATAAAAAACATACTATGCTTTTCTAATAATAATTATGTCTTTAATAAAGTTTTTTAATTGAAATTAATAATAAAAAATACCGAAACGTTTTAGTTGAATGTGTTTATCGTCCACGGAGTGGAAAAAAACTTTCGAAACTTTTATCAAAAATGCGATTATAAAAATAAATAAAAAAAATAAAACGTTATATATTACTGGTGACATAAATCTTGATGCTCTTTCTAACACAAAATTTCCAAAAATAAAATCTCTTTTTGATATGCTTTTTAAACTGAATGTCTTGTCAACTATTAATAAACCAACGCAAGTAATAAAAACCTCGGCAAGAGCAATAGACAATATTTTTCTTAATAATTATTTAAAAATGACATTTGAAACCGGTATATTTATGACAGATATTAGTGATCATTTCCCGGTATTCATAAAAACAAAATTTAAAAGCTATGACTGATTGTCATTCAAGAGTCATACATTTGAAAAAACGAAATTTAAAAATGAGTAACACTAATAAATTAACAAATAGACTAAAACAAAAAACATGGAACAACGTATATAAATGTCAAGATACGAATGGAGCTTACAATGTTTTTTTAAGTACATTTTTGGAGTACTTTAATGAAACCTGTCCTCAAGAGATTATAAAAATTTAGTCAAAAGCAATTGCAATCCGTGGATGGATAAATCGTAATTAAAGTACTCAAAAAAAAAGCAAAAACTTTACAATAAATTTTTGTAAAATAAAAACAATGATAATGAAAAAAATTATAAATATTTTTACCAAGATCTTATGAAAAATGCAAAAAAAAATATTACAGTAATTAAATTAACAAATGCAAATTTGATTGTAAAAAAACATGGTCCATCATCAATGTCATAATGGAAAGAGAAAAACTAAACTCACCTTCTCTACCTAAACGAATTGTTGTTGAAAACAACGATATATTTAGTCAAAAACAAATTTTGGAAGAATTCAATAAATATTTTACAAGTAGGGGAAAGCGGGGCAACATGGTGAATGGGGCAAGATGGGTTTTCATATAACAACTCAACAAAAAATCTTAAAATTTGGTGAAAACAAAACTGTATTTGCGTCTTATATTTTAAAACGCCAATTGGTTTTTCGAAGTATTATTAACGCAATTTTATACGCATAAGTTTACTTTTTGCGCTTAAAAAAAAATTCCTCACTTTTGATTTCTCATAATGGATGGTGTCCTTCAAGTTTAACTTCTTTAAAAGTAGTTTTTTGCAATTTGTATATATTTTTTGTAACTTTAGTTAAAGTTATTGGTAGTTTTTAAAATTGGATGTAAAAATTGCATAATAAGTCATCTTGCCCCAGTCACGTGACGAGGTGACGAATTAAGGAACTTTTTATTTTAATATTTCTTTCAAATTGTTAGATTTGCAAAGTGAAAATGCATGGAGGTAATGAACCATTTTAATAACATAAACATACTGAGAAAGTATTATTGCTTCACGACTGATACTTTTGCAATAACTCAGGCCTTTCAAAACATTTGCCATGTTGGCCCGCTTTCCCCTATTGGTCCGAATATTGTAAAAAAATATGTAAATAACGCCCAATCTGGAGTGTTAAATGTCATATGTGGAGTTTTGCAAGGATCGATTCTTGGTCCACTTTTTTTTTTTAATATATATAAATGGCTTCTGTAATGCATTCTTAAAACTTAATTCAGTCATGTTTGCAGATGACACGAATTTATTTCTTAGCAACAACGATATCAAGAAATTATATGCGGACATGAATATTGAACTTAATAAAGTAAATAACTGGTTTAAGGCTAACAAACTCTCACTTAATGCCAAGAAAACAAACTATAGTTTGTTGAAAAAGTATATATATGTATATACTTTTTCATAAAAAAGCACAAGAAGAAAATCTTCCTCTCAAGTTGCCGATCCTATTTGTAAATGATAAATTAATTAAAAAGCAATCCAATATAAGATTCTTGGGAATCGTTGTTGTTGAAAAATTATCCTGGCTTCCTCATATAATATATATCCAGTCAAAAATTACCAAAATCATAGGTTTAATGTACCGAGTTCGCTCGTACATCAATACTAATAGTCTTAAATTAATCTACTTTGGGCAAATTCACAGCCTCATCAGGTATGCAAACATTTCATGGGCAAGTACTCAAACAGCAAAGCTTAAGAAACTTTATAGTTTTCAGAAACATGCCTGTAGAATCATTTACTTTAAAAATAGGCGGGAATAGGGTTAGGACTATTGTTATTGTTATTGTAAAAGTTAAATACAATAACAATTACAATACAATAATATTGTATTGCAATACCAGAGATGCAATTAAAACATTATTTATGGTTATTGTATTGCTAAGAACAAAAACAGTTACAATAACTATTGTTTTGATTTTTTTTTCTAACAATACATTGAAGCTCTAAAACTATTGTATTGTATTGCTGTGATGTAAAACAATTACAATAAATATTGTATTGTATCGGGAAAAAATTACAATAAGTACATTGATGCATTGTATTAATATTTCAAAGTCTAATAGCTATTGTATTTTATAGTATTTAGACTCTTTTTTCACGCATTTATTATTATTTTGGCACTAGATAATTTATGGGTGCCCGTGACGCTCGTTTTCAACGGTCATTTATATATATAAATTTTATTTATTTTCAGAAGTGAAGTGAAGCCAGGATAGCCAAAGAAATATATATACTACGTATACTTAATAAATATTTGGTTTAGGGGCGCACGTGGCACCCATTTCTAGCAACCATTTACATATATAAATTTTATTTATTTTGAGTTCAATAATATAACTGTTTAAATAATAATTTATTTAGAATTAACATTAATAATATTCATTCAAAATCATACTAATATATAATTTATCATATGCTTGTAATTAAATAATTATCTACTTTAAGAAGTTAATTTTTATATTTTTTTATAATTTTGTCTAAAATGATATTGACATGTTTCACAGGATGATGACGTCTAAACTTATTGATTAACTTCACTAAGCGCTTTTTTTTCAATATATCTAACCGTTAATGTGTAATCAATTACATCATTATGGAATCAAAGAACCTTTGACCTGGGTAATTACCGATTAGATTGTCTAGAAATGTGAACTACTACTGTTTTTTTAAAATTTTATTTACATTTTCAGATTGTTCATCACCTATCAGACCGTACCAGTAAATTTTGTGTGGATCATTTTTGAAAAATGAGGCAGTTTAGAACACCAAATAAATATTGTTCTTGATTTATGTAACAAAACTCTTTTATAACTTTGCAACTAGATGTCCGGTTATATTATGAAACACATATAGCCATAAAGCGGAAGGGAAACAAAATACAAAGTTATATTAGAATAAGTGTGAGTTGAGTAAGTTTCGAAACATTTGGATAGGTGCCTAATGTAAAAGCAAATAACTTAGTGGAAGAAATGGTAGTAGTTAATCATGTCTATCCCCAGCAGTAAAAGAAATACAAGTCCGATTGAACTCACTTTTATAGAGCTACACAAAGTTTATAAAATAAAAAAGAAACAGAATCAGTACTAATATAACCTCTTCCTCTTCAGTAATATTTTACATGTATTTAATTAATTGCGGTTGAAATGTATTTAAAAATTTTCCAATATAAGAGAGTTTAAAGTAATGTATATCAGATGGTTTTGCAGATGACATGTTTTCTTTAAGAGATAAAGTTGTTTAGTAAATTTTTGGTTAAAACTTACTAAACAAATTAAAAAAACCTTACTAAACAAACTTAAAATTGTTTAGTAAGGTTTTTGTCAATTAAGTTGAAGGGAAAAGAGTTTTTTTAAAGAGTTGTTTAATTTTTACAATATCTAGATGAAAAATTGCTGTTTTTTGAAGGCCCTGATAATCAGAGTTTTAATGAGTCCTAGTTCATAATTAATTTTAGTGAAGCTTTTAAAATTAGTTTGTAAACCTGTATATTTTTTTTTTGTAAAATGTTGAAGTATTAAATTTATAATTTACAGAGTTAATAATTATATCAATAAAGGTTCCATTTGCGATCAACCTCTTCCTCTTCAGTAAAATTGGAGTAACTTAGTAAACTTAAGAACAGTCACAGTAAAGGGATGAGACTTCATTGAATGACACATAACACGAGAATGAATTTTAGTAGATGGCACAAGAGGCACTAGCGCCCATTATAGTATTTGTAGAAAAGAGAAAGAGTAGCAACATTAAGAGGAAGTTGGAGGTTGGCTGCAAGAACAGGTCCAACTATGTTTACGCTTTTGCACCTTGTCTAAAAGAGAATTGGCATCATTGGAAGATCCACCCCAGAAATGGCAACTATTCCATAAAATTATGAACAGAATCAGTAGTAAGAATGTGGCAAGCACGATAAGGAGATGCATGCTATTTTATTTTGAAATGGATTTGATATATGGTTTCTGAGAAAGATTAATAGTAAGAGTTAATTCAAGAAGCTAAAGTTTAAATGATTCATCAAGTATATTATTGTTCATAAATATATAATATTGTGATAACGATTAGCTAAAAACTATTGAGTCTTATCTGAGTTAA